AAAAAAAAAAATAAAAAAATAAAAAATTGTAAGTGTCTTATATTATTATAAGAGATCTCATCTTTGTTAGACGATTTAAGAATTTGATATCGTTTATAGTGTTGTTGAAATTGTCATCTCATTAATATTGTCCCACTCATTCGCTTTCCCACATCAGAACGACAAATCTAACTTACCTAATGAATCGTTTGTATATAAATTATACATGTACATGTTAGTTGATCCAAGTTTTAAAATTACATATGAATGTGTTGAGGTTTAGTATGCATTTTTCTTCCTCCTATAATGCCTAAATGGACAATATATACAATCATCACTACAATAGTTCGGAAATTTATCAACCGAATAATCTGTTGGCAATCAGGTTTTTCAAAAGAATGCAAACGGATTTTATTGTTGCTAAATATTGTCAACAGAAAATACTAACGTTAAGAAAAATCTAAACAGATTAGCGAATTTGCAACGAAAAACTACATGTTATTGCGAATAGATTCTCAACAAATAACGTTGTTACTAAATAATTATGTTTTTATGCTCTCAGTACACGTATTAGAATATTCACTTGTGAGTTAAGATTTTTTATCAATTCAATTTCACGTGCACTAGGATCTAACAAACATGCAACTAAAAATGTATCAGGAATATAAAAATAATATTTTAACTATTTTTTTAACATTTCACTTACTAAATTTGTATATTTAAAATAATCAAGTTTGCAAAGATCAGAGAAAGCCCACATGATAGTTATATATTGACTTAATACAAGCTGAGCAGTAGGATAATAAACACCGGAAAGCATGGAAGTGACATTTTGAAATATTTTTAAAAAACTAATAAGTACTTTACAATTCTCCCAATCTGTTGTGGAGACTCGGATTGTCACAGTCCCTACGGTTTGGTTCGTTAAAAAACTTCTCCAACACCGCCATAAAAGGAACTGTGTCATTCAACATTTTATATGTTGAATTCCATCGGGTCAGAACGTCGGGTTGAAATTTTTTAGGTTTTAACCCTTCATTCTTACAAAAACGCCCCCATGCTTTCATTTATGAGGACGTTTATGTAAATAATTAACAGCATTTTTAATTGCCGTGACTGAATCTTTAAAAGCATTATAACCAGCTTGTACACATAAATTCAAGACATGACATATACAACGAATATGAAAAAATCTTCCTCCACAAATAGGTGAGCAAATATTTGTAAATTCACGTATAGATGCAGTATTGACAGTTGCATTATCAAAAGAAATGGAAAACACTCTTTTACCAATTTTATATTTGTCCAAAATTTTAGAAATTAAACGAGCAATATTAGATGCAGTGTGACGTTCATGAAATGCAACATAAGCAATTAAACGTTTTTGTAAACTCCAAGTTTCATCAATTCAATGACAAGTAATTCCCAAATAGGAGTTAGTTTGCCAATGATCAGACTATATATCAGCACAAATAGATACTCTATGATTTAATGATTTCAAAGTTTCTTGCAAAATTAATCTTTTTTCACTAACAATTTGAATATCGCGAGAAAGAGTAGTACGTGGAACGAATGGCAGCCGAATTTAAATCCATTTGAGCAAAATTTTCATACAAATCACTATCACCAAAACTAAATGGAAGAGATGAGGCAGAAACAAATTCAACTAAATGACGTCTATGATTATCATGCGAGTAATGAAAAAAAGGTGGCGTACCTGTACCAGTGCCGGATGCAGAACTGCTGTTGGGGAATTGTGTATGTGTCGTGTCGATTCCCAACGTATGCGGATGACGACTCTTTAGGTGTGGAGTCAAGGATCCGTACCCATCGCTTTTTTTGAAATTATACTGCTTCTTGCCATTAGGCGGACAATGGTTGCAGACTGCTAAAAAATAATTTGGACCTTTTTGCGGAGTTGGGATCTTCTTGTAATGTCGTTAGAAGATGTCAGACCCCTTATTGCCACCCCTACCCGGACCACGACCATAGATAGAGGATGGGTGGTGCATGTCTGCGTCATGCTGCGTCTCTTGTTGGATCTCCTCCGGGCTCGTTCCAAATAGATCATCTAAATGGTCGTGAAAAGGCTGCTGTTCGGGCTCTTGCTGTTCGGACTGAACTGAGTCAAACAGGACTTCTATTGTTGCTTCATCAATATCATTTGGGACAGAAGGAACAT